AATATAACTTAGTCATTTAACATCAAATGATTGCATCTCATTTAACTTAATGTAAGGTCTTCTTTTTATAAAGAAAAGAGTGTTTTTTGTGATTTAACAGCATTTTGTTCAGAACCTGATAGGCTATATGAATAAAACTCACAATGACACAGGTGAGGTATTATTGATCTTTGACTAATCAGGAACCAGGGACTCTCTATAAGGAAAACAAACGCTACAAATGGATATTGTTACTTGTGGAATAAATCTTGCCGTTCCCATGGTTATTGTTACTTGTGGAATAAATCTTGCCGTTCCCATACTAAGTCACGTTTCTAGTTGATATCTAAGTACTTAAGGTTTGTAATTGCCAATACATCATTTTATAAGTTTTCTCTTTGGAATGCATAATAATTAAAATCAAAATATGTTATAATTCAGGATTGTATTGGAAGCACTTCTAGGAAGAAGAATAACAGACATTACTCTTGCTCAAAAGGTTTCTACAGCAAAGGTGTCTTCTGATAGAACCTGGTTGTTAAAAAGCAAAGGTACAGTTGTGTTTACTTCATTGCCTTGTTAATTGTCAACACTGTAATGCTTAAATTGAAATTGCATTGTGTAAATTCTATTCATTGAAAAACAATTATGCATTTTTGGTTTATTTGTTTGCATGAAACAACTAAAGCTTTGATTAAATTTTGAGCATATTAGTAAGGGGATAGAATATAAAGTTTAGATATTTTTCATAAACACCCATCAAATGAAATATGTTCGCTGTATTCTGGAAAAAATGGTTTAATATAAAAACAAAATATAAATTTTTGCAAAAAGTGAAAAATTTTGTGACATATAACATCAGTCAGCGGTAATTAATTTTAAAATGGGGAAATACTTTTGCAAGGGTTACTGACTGCAAAATATAAGGCCACACTTACTATACCAGAAAAAAGTGTGTAGGTTTCCCCTTCCCCTTTCCTATAGGAATAATGCTCTGAATTGTCCAATCTGCTAATTCCTAATTGTTTTCTCCATCTCTCTTTTATTGACATTATCAAGCTATTACATTTTTCCGGTAAATGATACAACTGATAATAGTTCTCGACTCCTCCAGTCATGCACTGCATTTTTTCGAAAATCATTTTAGCATGTATATTGACATCTGTTAATCCAATAACTATTTTATCTATAAAACGTTAATAATGTTCTCCAATTATATTGTCAGTCTCTATTGTGTTTGGTATTTAACTTGTTCTGAATCAGCCCTACCTTTGGTAAAATTTACTTAATGCTATAGAAGCTATAAAGTAGATTATTCTATAATCAAAAATAATAAAACACCTATTTGATCGAAGACGCTTAACTGTAAACAAAAACATGTTCTGTTTTTGTCTCTCATGAAATCACAGATATGTGTATCTTGCTTTATATGCACAGCTTTTTCGTACACACATACACACTAACACACTTGTACACCCAAATACAAATCCTGACTTTATATCTTTTAGTAACACATGTATATATTCTTGTTAAATGCATTTTGTATGATTTTATCGATTTTCAGATAAATTTTCAAGTATTACTGAATGGGCATCCAGGTGGAAAGGGCTTCCACAAGAAAAAAAACGTTATGTTTATGAGGCACGCCAGATACCTAAAGGAGCTGTTTGTGAGGAGCCCAAGAAAGCTAGATGCTTTCTGCTTAAAAAGTTGGATGATCTTGTAAGTCCAATGCAAAACGTATTGTAATCACCTTTTTCATTATTTAATTTGCATTTAGACTTTATAATTTTGTACATAGATTGCCAATGTGGTAACTGTTTGCACGATTCTATTATGCTGAAGAAGTGTCGTGTGCATAATGATCATTTATTGGTGGATACAATTTGCTTACATGAGTCATTATGTTTCATAAATGACAGGTCCTCACTAAATTTTAAAGTTTTTATCAGCTTTGACAACACTGATACATGTTTTGGATTTTTTAGGATCACTGTAGTTATCCATAAAACTATCAACCTGGTCCTAGTTCATGAAATAGCTATTTTCATGTCATGCTTTCCCCAGACCCTGTCCAAGTCCAGAAGACTCTTTGTTCACTAGCCCAAAGTTTGCATCCATGCAAATTACTTTTGTAAATACCTGTTTAAAATTATTATGGTAATTATTTCCTCATTCAAGAAGAAAACCATTTTATGAATGAATATGGATAAAAAATGAATAATTCCCTGACGTTTTCTTCTATTTATTTTGCACTCCATGCTAAAAAGTTCAGATTTGCTAGCTTAAAATGTATTATACACAAACTGTTGTCACAAAAATATAAGGTAATGAAGTCAGTCAGAAGTGGTTTATATAAATTAGTAACTGTACATACAAGATTATCCAGTAATTAGTAATTGTGGTTTATATACAGTAATTAGTAATTGTGGTTTATATACAGTAATTAGTAATTGTGGTTTATATACAGTAATTGTAATTGTGGTTTATATACAGTAATTAGTAATTGTGGTTTATATACAGTAATTAGTAATTATGGTTTATATACAGTAATTAGTAATTGTGGTTTATATTGTGATATTAAATTTCGAAAACTCGCATGAAATATATCAAATGAGCCATAAAAATATTTTAAACTAATGTAAACAATTATAATTAAGGGCCAAATAAAATCATCAAAATCGCCTGAAAATTAGAAATATTATCTAAATTCTCCATGTCACTTAGCCAAATTACTAATTTGTATTACTATAAATTAAACTAAAATATAAAATTATTACATTTGCAAATTTTATTTTAGAAATCTACATGGCCAGATGGTAGGCATTTTCCAAAATCTAACTGGCCTGTGTGATTCCATGCCCTACTGAAAGTTGTGGCATGGTAACGATACTCATTAGAACAGTCACCAATAATCAGTCTGTATATATTTTTTACCTGAAACAATGAAAGTGAACATTACATTTAGTGACAATTAAAAATAAAATTTAGTATTCTAACCTAAATACTTGTAAAAAAGACTATATATACTTTTCATATCAGCTTTAAAGGTATACAGTAGTTGACAAATGAAGTATGAAACATAAGAGATTACTACTAAATGTTGCAAAGGAACAATACAGAATCTTCAAAACACAGCATCCATGTAACGTATTCACTTTGTATCCTTGACAGGTATTATCAATGATTTATACTCTTATGTCAAATGTTTATTTATTTGCCAACAATTTCAAAATACTATACTAAAATACATTTTTGAAAATGCATATCAGTTGACAAACAAAGGTTAAATTTCTTCAAATTTAATAATGTTTTATAATAAAATGAAAAATAATTTATTACAATCTTTGACTTTTACGATGTATGGAGAAATATAATAATAATGTTATGAAATCTCAGACAATATTACCATGACAACGTATATATATATATATATATATATATATATATATATATATATATATATATATATATATATATATATATATGTACCTCTCTTATGTCATGAATTTTATATTTTTTCATGCTGGAAAGAGCATCACAGAAAGCTCTCAGTGACAGCTGGTCCTCTGACTGCAACATGATTCCTTTAGGTCCCTATGAATACCTACTCTTAGTAACTCTGGTGTAGCAGTCCAAAGGTCGTATCACGGAATCGTCACTTCTTCTTTTCACAGTGACAAAGCTATATTTCTACTTTGTGCTGGGTACCTGAAAATAAACCTTATGACACTAAATGTGTTCATTGAATGAAGCTGTCCAACAGAAGTTAAATGAACCATGATAGGTCAAATGGACCAATGTAACGATGCCGTAACAAAGGTAATGTGTCCCTTACTGTCACGATAAGGTATAAAATGATTGCGTACTAAGGACTACTAAGTGCCTGCACAAATCTGTAAAGTGATGCTTGAATGAGCAATAATTATGAAATTATGCCAGGCAGCCAGAAACAGACATGCAAATTCAAGTTTTCATGACAAAAAATACACAGTTGTAATTACCGGTAAGCTTAATCACATAATAAAAAAAAAACATGTATTACCCTGAATATTAAAAGTAACATTATTCAATATAGTACTTATTAACATAATTTTAACACAGTGTCATTCCTAACTAAACTTAATTATTGTATCACTGGCAAATCTATATTACTGTGCTGCAGGAAAAAGACTTGAAAAGTTCAAGTAAATCATGATTATTTTAAGGTGACCATTCAAGGAGTCAGGTCAAATTAAAAAAAAACCTGCCTCGTTAATAATGGATCGTGTATGTCCAAGAATAAAGTGCTATGTCTGTGAATATTAGGTTACATGCAAACTTGTATAAGACTGATTTTCTTTCAGGCAAATAGATGGATAAAGAGAGAAATTTTAGATACTTACCTTTGCAATCAATAACACATAAAGATCTTAAATATGAAGACGCACAAACTTCATGATCTTTTCGCCTCAGAAGATCTTCTGACCGAACCACAAATGGAACGAAGAGTCTATCATGTAGGAAAAACAGAGAAAACATACATTACAGTATCTGAGTACATGTACAAATATATGAAAATCATCTCAATACATGCCAATAAGATCCTTACAAGAATGCAAAGTTTCTTGAAATAAATAGGATCCTAAGGTCCATTCGAGTCAAATTATTGTGGCTTTAAAGCCCTTACACTTTATGTAGGATATATTCTAAAAGAAAACATTTAGAGATAAAATTTGCCACCCATGTGAAAATAAGTGGGTAGGTTTCTAATTACAGGGAGTGTGTGTGTGTGTGTGTGTGCTTGTGATTTGGATTTTTATTATAGCTTTAACAATTTTTCAGTCATATAGCTACAATGTCTGCAGTATGGCAGTTTTATAGTGATGCCTAGCACTGATGCATCATGCCAAGGTCATACAATATACTGTCCCACCCAGTCACATTATCCTGACACCGGGTCAAGCGGTCCTAACACTAACCTATTATTGCTGAGCCCCAAGCAAGGCAGCTGTTAGTGCTGTTCTTGTAAGTCTTTGGTGTGATTCAGCCGGGGATGGAACCCATGGCCTCCTGCATTCGAGGCAGATGCTCTAACCTCTAGGTCATCGGTGTGGTCTAGAGGAAATATTTCCTGAAGAAATACATGTAGGACTTGCACATATAGTGCATGACTTCATTGCATTTGGTTGAGTTTTCTGTCAAATTGTTTGAAAATTAGTGTAATCTCACATTTGTGTACCTTACAAGAGGCATTATTTCAAGGAGCCATGTCTATTTTATCACCAAACTTTTAACAAATAACATGAAGTTCCTGTAAATTACTATGGTAAACTCATCCAACGTTCTATCTGATAACAGATTTTATTGTTTGATTATTATTACATTCCCATTCTAAATTAACATTTCTACATTTCAGATACTGTAGAATAGAAATAATGGTGCATACACATTCACTAGCTCAAGCATCTTTCTCAAAAATATTTGAACAGATATTTGCAAAATTGTATTTTCTATCTGCAATCCTACCAATTCAGAATGTAAGCAGTGTGATTACTAGATTCCATTGCTCGATCAACAATTGCTCCTGTTAGTGGCATTAGATGCTGAAAGCCAGTCCCAATTGTCATAAATATTAATTTCAATTCAGTTATTTCATATGAGCTCTAAATTCATAGGAAATGCATTATATTAGCCCAGCAGTTATCAACTTCAAATCCATAAGTATTCATTATCAAGAAGTGAGACATCTTGTCAGTCTTTAGGTTTTACTTAAAGCGCTATCAAATACAAAGCAAACTAGATCAAAGAGAAGCTTGCCACATTTACAGTGATAAAATCATTCATTTTCATAAGTTAGTGGACTTGACTAATTGTCAGGACAATATAAGAACTGCTACAGATGTTGCTTTTAGTGCCTTATTAGAATGAATGCTGATGTTTAAGTGTGTACAATAAGAAGCAATGGTAAAACTTGGGGGTAAACACTAAAAATGTCTAAAAATCTGAGACACACACTGCTCTTTAAAAATGAGCCAGGTTTACAAATACAAACAGTTAGCAAATTAATTTATCTCAAACTATTCATGAAGGTTGAAATTCAATTACACATCATGTGGATGAATAAAGTAAAAAAAGCAGTTCTTGCATAAATGATTTTCAGGTTGAATGAGTTAAGAAATCTAGTTTAATATTAAGTCCGATTCTTATATTGAACAACAACTATAAAAATAATAATAAATCTCAGGAAATACAAGACACTATATTAAACAGTTTACAAATAGTGTCAAAACAGATAATACATGTATATGAAGTTCATATTTGGTGTTAGTAACTTTAAGTAAGTTTTCTTCATCATGGGATTAGATCTTTTGAACCAATGAAATTGCTTTTCATTAATATTATGAAAGAAATAATTCAAAATTGCCTTTCATATGATTTGTAATATTTTCAGTAATATGCAAATTCCTGACAATCTATACTTTATTGCAAAATATCAAGTGATGACATAGAATGCAGTAAAACCTGTACAGTATCAAAAGAACACAAATTCTGCCAAAACAAGTTGTAAGAACGGCAACCTATAAAGATAACTGTCAGTCCATTAAATAATCAAATAGCATCATTTACAAAAAAGTAGTCTAGGCATTCCTGAACAGTTGTCCAATAAAAACCCCTCCATTATTTCAAGTTACTCCTTCCTGGGCAAAATGTCATCTGACAATAAACAATTCAGGCAGATCAGCCAATGAATATGGGATGGAGGACAATGACTGTATTTGCATAGGTAATACCGATTCCTTACTGTCACCTTAGCCCTATGTATACCAAACTAGGGTGGTTGATGATATTTTGCATGGCACTTCAATTCCTGAATGCAGTCCCTGTAATAGTTTTAAGGGCTGGGGAAGAGGGTGTGTTAATAATAAGGGCTGGGGGAGAGGGTGTGTTAATAATAAGGGCTGGGGGAGAGGGTGTGTTAAGATAAGTAATGATTATTGTGTGGATCTTTGTATCTTACATAATCATTAACATGATTCTGCAATATGATGTCAGTCTACCTTCCATTTTTGGGGAGTATGAAATAAAAATAGTCTGATGGAACTCGTTACAACACATCTGACAATAATAAGCAATTGTGTTATAATCGAGACATCGGATTATTTCATGTTCCTCTCTGCAACACTTGCTGCATCTTTGTGTAGCAGATGACATGTTTTAACCCTTGCATCCAAAAAGTTTACTATTAGAGCAGATCAAGCTTCTGCCAGCTCTTTTGTCTTCGGCTCTGGTATCTTATCAGGGTTCTCTACCTTAAAATAAAAAGCAGTAATTTCGCAGAATAGACTGCTTTTGTAAGATCAGTTATCATGCTGCATCTAAGAAATAAGTGTTCATGACATTATGATGTCACTGTTATATCACTTTTGACAAAGGTGTATTAGATCACAATGACCTCTGCATGAGATATGATGCAAACTGACCAACATAGTTTTGACTTAAGTCTCTTTAAAAATAATGAAAACTTAAATTTGTAATAACATTTACTAATTGCAATAAGTGTAAAAAATATAAACAACCAAGTAAACAAAACTGTAAGTTTGACATCTTAAACACTTATAACCTAAACCAATATAACATCAATAACCAAGTCATAATGGGAAATATCACAAGCATCCTCCTTTTATTCGGAATTTAAGAATATATTGACGATATTCAAAATGTAAAATTTTTAAAAATTTCTAAATACTAATTCTCTCGTTACGTTCTCAGCAATTCAGGGCAGGTTACTTTTCCCCTTTTGCTTTTAGGTAGTGACCTTTGGGGATAAATATACAAGCAAGTCTTAGTAATGCAAAGAAAGGCAAATCAACAAAAGCATTTTTAGGTCAGCTTGAATTGCTTAGGATCTAACTAAGCAGTGTATATGTATATTTTATACAATTAAACTATCATCACAGAACTGTTTAAATGCATTTAAATTTAATTACTGACATTAAGTCAAAAGTTTACGACATAATTCTTCCTGCTTAAAAATACAGTTTCTTTTTCATAATACAATCAACTCAAACAGTGCTTACAGGACAAGAATAGTTGTATACATGTTTAAAATTAGAGTAAACATACTTGATTACACACTAACTCCAATACAAAACTATAATCTTATGTAACTTGAATTAGTCTGAAAACCTATATTGTTTTCAGTCTCAAATGCAGATTGCTGATTAAGCTTATTCTGGTAGGTAGGTGTTCTCAAAACACCTTGCATATTTAAAAAAGAATTAAATTAATTCCAAACATGGGAGTACACCAGTTATTTCACATTATTATCTATGGCCCTGCAAGAATTATTACCACGATATAAATAATCTTTAAATAAGCAAAATACCCAAACTTTTCAGCAGCCATCGTTCTTGTAAGTTTTGATGTGGGAAAAAAATTGTTTTCTGTATTTTAATAAACTGTCACAAGTAAGGACATGTGGGAATCATTACATAATTATTCATGTAACTCTAAGATTGTCACTAGCATTTTAATAAAGACCTTGCACAAATTCAAGTAATTAGAATTTCAAATTGTTTCATATCACTATATCAAAAAACATTTTTCTAGTAAAGCTAATAACTTGCCTACAATCTAACTGAATTAGTTGATGGCTTTATCTATGTTCAATACACGCAACCTTTTTTCTGCCACTAACTTTTATCTGCATTATTTGTTTTCCGATATATTTTTGTTCTTCATTTCTTTTTGTTGGACTTAAATATTGATATAAAGTTTATCATAATACAGAAGCACAGCACAAACAGTTGTTTTATGCTAAGAAAGTTTCTCACATCCTTGTAAACTTCCGGAAGTTTTGTGTATGAAACAGTCATATATGTCTTGGATTATGGTAAACTATTTACCATCTATCTTTGCAATAGATAATAGCACATAACCCTGCAGGTGAAAATGTTTGGTTAGCATCCTTATATATATATATATATATATATATATATATATATATATATATATATATATATATATATATATATATATATATATATATATATATATTGGATTATGGTAAACTATTTACCTTCTATCTTTGCAATAGATAATAGCACATAACCCTGCAGGTGAAAATGTTTGGTTAGCATCCTTATATATATATATATATATATATATATATATATATATATATATATATATATATATATATATATATATATATATATATATATATATATATATATATATATATATCTTACATTTAACTACATCAGTTGTACACTGTCATTATACAAGTTGTACAAGATATATATCTTACATTTTACTACATTAGTTGTACACTGTCATTATACAAGTTGTACAAGATATATATCTTACATTTTACTACATTAGTTGTACACTGTCATTATACAAGTTGTACAAGATATATATATTACATTTAACTACATTAGTTGTACACTGTCATTATACAAGTTGTACAAGATATATATCTTACATTTTACTAAATTAGTTGTACACTGTCATTATACAAGTTCCAACATGATTTAGTGTTACTTTCTGTTGAGCATCATCACATAATTGTCTTAAGATACTCTTGTATATCTCAAGTATGTACACTTACTCTAAACATCCGTGCCCATTTAGACATTGACTACATTTTATAGCTCTTTTTCCATAAATATAATTTTTGTAAATAAACAAAACTATATGCATAAGAAATTACTTTATCACCTGATGAGAAGCTTGTAATGATGAGTCTGAGGAACCTTGACTGCTCTCCGGTTCATTGGCAGTAGACTATAGTCCATTGAATGAACTGGTGTGGGCACAGATGAGCTCCTCGACAGCGAAAATCTTACATATTCTATTATTCTTCTTGATCCAGAATACACAATATTTTCTTCACTTTTGGAAACTTTTTTTTAAGAATCGAACTATTTTTTGATCAGTAAACAATTCGAAGAATTCACAATAATAGTTGCTACTTGTAAGCTTCTGATAATATCATGCACTGTTTTTCTTCTCATCATATTCAATACAGTGACGATCTTTTCCAGTCATTCTAATAACTTTTCTTTTTAACAACAATATGTGCTGCCTATATCCTGCGATCTG